GGAGGGAGAAGGCGGGGCGGAGGATCACCAGGATTCTGATGCGGAGGATGGGGACGAGGACGAGGATGACGCAAACAGGGACTGGGAGGAGACGAGCAGGGGAGGAGGAGAATGAGGAGGAGGAGAAGGAGGAGGAGGAGGACGACGAACGACGACGACGACGACGACGACGAGGACGAGGAATCGGAGCAAGGAGGACGATGTGCGATGGGGGAGACGCGGGCGAGGTCGAGGAGCGGAGAGAGGGACGGTGGGGGGGGGGAGAGGGGGGCGGGAGGGGGCAGCAGGAGCCTTGCTCCTCGTGCCTCAACTCCCAAGGGCGCGACGACTTTTCGCCCATCGACCTGCGGGGACCGGCCCAGGCCAGATTCATCGGCGCGAGTCGACGCGAGTCGAGGCGAGTCTCTGCATCTACCTCGATTCCATCGAGGTCGATGCAGAGAAGTCGGGGTGAATCCAAAGACCCCCAGGGCAATCGTGAGCAAATCGTGGAAGCTCCAGCGCGAGTCGAGGGGCAGCAGAAGTCGTGAAGCCCTCCACGAGTTAGAGGCCCTCCCACTTGGTAGGTTCTGCTGCCTGCCCAGATCCTGCCGCGGCGGTCCCCGGAGGCCCCCCGGAGATCCGCGGATCTTTCCTCCCCCGCGGCCCCAGACATCCCGACCCCAGACATGCGACGTCCTGATGTTTGCAGCACGGCGTCCCCCGGAAGCCCCGACCCTTTCCCCCCGGGACCAGGGTTTCATCCCGAGCCGGTTTTCTGACGGCCCCGAGGCCGCCAAGGGCACTCGGAGGCCGACCATCGTGAAGACTTCCCGCCTGGATTTCGCCACAGCGCGAAGCGATCGTTCCTATTATGCATCGTTTTGCCGATCGGCGCGGGCCCTCGGACCCGCTCCCCCTTGGAGTGGATCTTGGCTGTTTTGGGCGCCTGTTCCGAGCAGGTGGAGCCCCTCCCCCTATGATGGACGCACTTTCGCAAGCAGTCGCGCTCAGCAGAGGTCCGGAGGCCAGACCCCCGCCCCGCCCTCCCCCCCCTTTCCTCCCAATGTCGAAACGTCGAATCAGAAATCGCTCACGACGGGGGCTGGGCCCCCAGAAATCCCGACCCCTTCCCCGGGGGGCAGCTCTTCCCCAGGCCTGCGCCCGTCCTGCGCGCCCCCCCCCCCCCTCCAGGGTTATTCTCGGAGGCACCGCGGGGGGTCGAGCAGCAGAACGCCGGGAGACCTCAGGGGCAACGATCGGGGGGGATGGGCATAGGGGGTTGCATCGACCTCCAATCGCCCATTGATCGCCGATAGGGGTCTGATAGCCCCAACCCGCCCAGGAAGGTGCGGATTCACTATCGGGGGCCTATCGCCGATCTATCGGCGATGTATCGCCGATTCCAGGTCGATGCATCCCCCCCCTATGCCAGTCCCCCCCGATCGTTGTCCCTCAAGACCGTGTCCGAAACCTGCCGTGACAGTCGCACGCGTGCCCTGGGTCTTGCACCAAGGAGCTGCCAGGGACTTGAGGCTTTCGCCTCCTTCTTCATCCAGGAGGTTCCTCCTGTGGCCCGGGGGGGGGAGGACGAACGACCAGCGAACGAACGACGACGACGAACGAAGATAGCGAGGTCCGCGCTCTGGAGTGAAGTCCGCCCTTTGACCATTCTGGAGTGTTTTTTACACTATTTTCTGTGTGTCGTCGAAAATCCCCCTGCATGGGGGGGGCACGCCCGGCATGACTCTGGAGCACGGCTGCGCAGGGGCAGTGTCGGAGATCCCTGCGCGCCCGAGCCCTCGAGGGCCGAGGGCGCGACGCCCTCGGCCCTCGGGGGCCGGGCCGCGGGCAGGGCGCGGCGCCAGGGAGCGGCGCTGCGCGCGGGAGGGGCCCTTCGCCGGAGTGGCTCCTGGCGCGGGCCCACGGGGGCCCCCCGATGGCCGAGCGCGGCGCGACAGCGTACAGTCGGGCGTGTCCCTCTGCGGGGGGAAGGTTCGAAAGTGGTCCAGGCATGGTCCGGGGACGACCTCTCGACCACTTCTGGCTAGTTCTGCATTTCTGTTGGCAGCTTTTCCTCCTTCCTTCGAAATCCGCCTGGAGGAGGGCATGTTCCCGACCGAAGCACAGTTTCGTGTGCGCTCGTGTGTTGGCCCCCCTGCGGCCGCCAAGAAGCCGCGCACCAACGGTCACTCTTGCACCCAGGGGTCGCTCTTGCGTGCAGCCAGCATGGAGCGCTCCCACAAGGGCGTCGCCTTCGAGGAAACAGGGAGTTGGCCCGGGGGCGACGTGCAGAGGGGGGAGGAGGAGGAGGAGGAGGAGGAGAGAGAGAGGAGGAGGGAGGAGGGAGGAGGAGGAGGAGGAGGAGGAGGAGGAGGAGGAGGAGGAGGAGGAGGAGGAGGAGGAGGAGTTGTCGTCTTTCTCGGCGGAAGGGCGGCGGAAGGTCGGCGGAAGCGAAACGAGGCCGCCTCCGCCGGCGGTGGCCGGCGGACCGCCGGCGGAAGGCGGCGGACCCAGACCCCCGGCGTCAGGTTTTTTGTCGCAGCGTCGAGCCCCCGGAAGTCTCGGCCCTTGCCCCGGGACCGGTGTTTCATCCGGAGTTGTG